CCCCGCTTTCCTCCCCAGCTCTTCCCCTCCACCCCCCTCCCCTCGGTCTGCTTCCCTCCGTTCCTGTCACTTGTGACAGGATGAGAAGAAACGCCTTTACCAGGAACTCAGATCTGTTTTTGTCTAAATGTAGATCTTGGGCTATTAAAAAAGGAGCTGCTTGGTCGCCTCCACATTTAATAAGTCAATTAACATCTCGGTTTCGGAGGATCTGCCGGCGTGGCCGGGGCCGCTCTCCGCAGCCCGGCTGGGCAGCAGCGACCCTCGGCCGTGCAGAGCTGGCTTCACGAGGGACAGCCCGGGGGCAGGGGGCTGGCTCGGGGTCAGGGCGGCGACGCTCTAGGAAACTCGGGGTGCACGCGGGTGCCTGGCCCGGACCGGCAGCAGCCCTCCCCCCACCCCTACCCCCGCAGCCCCCTAACCCCAGAATCCGCGCGGGACGAGCCAGGCCCCTCTGGTCCGGGACCCTCGAGGCTGGCCCCTCGCCCCCCTTCCTAGGAAGCCCCCCGGGCGCCTCCCTGCAGGCCCACGCCTTCCAGAAAGTTTGGGTTCTTTAGAGGTAGGCAGGCACGTTGTGAGTTCAACCATCTATCTCCTGTAATTTTTTTTCTTGTAAACTGTATTATCAATCAGCTGCGCACTTTCCCCTTGTATTGGCGCTTTCTGGGCAAGGGCTGGACGCGCTCCAAGTCCGCGATCTGATTGGGAAAGGTGTTTAGTGCAACACCCGACAGGGAGCGTGGGGCCAGAAGGAAGCCTCGGGCGGCGCGGGCGGTGCAGCCAGCGCCAAGGTCCCCGCGGGGGGCGCAGGCCCGAGGAGGCGGCCTCCTGCCCCTGAGGCCCCGTCCCCACCTCCACCTCCGCGCCCTCCTCCACGGGGTCTGTTTCCTCAGCAGGAACAAGAGTTTGGCAGGACGAGGGTGGGGTCACTAGAACAGAGAAGGGAGATGAGACAATGCATCGCCCCCCCACCCCCCTACACACACGTTGGGGGGAAGTGTTGGTACTGCTCTCTGAAAACAAATCGTTTGATTTCTCAGCATTTTTTTAGTAAGCAGCGTGACTAAAACGTGAACGTTTCTGTTAAGATATACTCAAGGAAAAGTAAAAATTCATATCAAGCAGATCTTAGGCAGATAAAGGGATGTTTTTCCTTTTGCCCTTTCTGTGTGTGAAAAGTAATGTCCTCTCCTCCCGCACGAGCGCCGCCTAGCGACCGGGCCCCCCCCCCCTGGCGCCCAGCCCCTGGTGGGCGCGTGGCCCGTCTCCAGCATGTGAAGCTTCTATTGTAAAATATTTTGGTGTAAAACTTTTTTGGAAAACAATCTTACTGCCGTGAAAAAGAAAAGAGGAAATTAGCCCTACCTCATGTTATTTTTAATTTACACAGAATCTTTCCTTTTAAATAGTATTATAAAAAATCAAAAGCTACTTTTTTTTTCTAAAAAGTACCAGTAAGAGCTGTCACCCCTCCCCATAGTCTATCAACCGAGGAGGCCTTGCTAGTAATTAATAGTGTCCTTTTTTCCCTTTGCAGCTTTTAAAGGGGCAGACGAATGGCTCCCTGAGTGGCTGCGTCCCCAGGAGCAGGCCCCGCCGCGCGGAAGCACCAACAGCGAAGCAGCCCTTGGCTGGTGTCCGGCCTCGTGAGACCCGGCCGCTGGGCTCAGACAGCCCACGTCCTGATTCGTTCACGCTTGCCAGGCTCTGCGCTGACATGACTCAAGGGGCCCCTCACTTTGTATAAGCCGTTTTACAGACTTTTTGAAACTTCATAAGAGTGCACTGATTTATAACGTCCACCGAGCTTTTCAATACTCGGTGTCGTCAGGACGAAGCCCTTGGAGTTCTCCAAGCTGCGGAAACGGGTGCCCGCGGTCAGCGCCGCCCGACTGGCCAGCTCGGCGTCCGTGCTGGTGACGGCCGCGCCAAGTGCAGCCACCTGGTTCCGTGTGCCGTGTGTTTGCCAAATCGCTCCGCCACTTTCTGGCTACATGGAGGGGCTGGGCTGCGTGGCCTTTGAAGCCTAAAGCTGTGTAAGTCTATGATTGTTGGCAAAAAGTCTCAAAACAACAAAATGCCGGGTTCCTACAAAAAGCTGAAGCTAATTCACTAAAAATAATCAGTATGAATTTCACCATCGATTTTCAGACAAGAGGTGCTTATATTAAATAATTTAACTTTCTCCTTCAGTAAGCAAACAACTTTCTACTATGAAGGGTCCAAAGAAGGTAAGAGAGAAAATTAAGCAACAAATTATATTCTAGCATTATTGGTAAACAATAGCTGATGATTTCTTTTGCTGGATTTGATCTAGTTTAGCCTCCTTTTGAGAAAACTATATTGGGTTGGGCTGTAGAAAGAAAACGAACCAGACATGGAAAACTTGTGTTGAATCTATTTTTACTGTAGATCTATGTTGTGAGACGGACAAGAGATTCCTTCAACTATAAACAGTATAATGTGCTAATATTTTAACTACAATCACTTTTCTGTTTTCCCAAAAGGTATATATTTTATTTGAGATGAATATTAATTACCTTGTAAGACTTCTAAAAGAGATAAATGTTAATTACATTTTCAAATGAATCGTTATATTTGTCCAACTGTTCTGTTCATCATTTAACAATGTAAGTAAACTCTTACTAGAGAGAAAAAAGTTACCTTTTGTAGGGGAAAACATTATGTGTTATGAAGAAATACGTTTAACTTTTCTCAGTTGTGTTATTGTCACTATTAATGTTATTAGTATGTTAGGAATGTACTAGAAACTGTATAAAGCGTTCGCGATGAGAAGCTTCCTAATAGCACTAGTCTTCCTAGGATGGAGGTAAGAAATGGACCCTTCGTAAGTCATGGCGCATGCATGCTTCCTAGCAGTCTATTTGTATCTGCGCACCGCAGCGTCTGCCTCCTTCCCATATACAGAGGGGGCTCGCTGCTCGAGCGCACATTCCTCCATCAGAGGGTACGTCTTTTATCCACCCCCTCATTCCTTGAGACCCTCTTTTGCATCCGCAAAGCCAGGTGTGCAGGTTGGGGTACTCCACAGCTGACAGTGACTGTTGCCACATGAGGGGCTGCATGGGATGTGGACTTGACTGTTCCTGTTATGAGATCCAGCCAGAGAAGAGGGCTTCAGGTGTGGTGACTCTTATCTGCCCTCTGAGGCTCCCCTCTCCCGCCTTTTGATGGCAACAATGAGAAGGAATTTAAATGGACACATCCCACATCAACATGTTAAAAAAAAAAAAGGCACTCCTGTTTATGAAGTCAAATCACCACGGCAACATCTGAACAAATATAGTTGTGTGTGCCGAGAGCAACCTCGGTATGTCTGTGTTCCATACACTTTCTGGATTTTGTTCTGCAGATCAATGTCCTGATCGAAAGTGACACAGGCCGTGATTGGGGTCATGCAGGCACTGCCAAAGGGCCACAAAAGTGCCAGATTCCAGAGAAATTCTCAAACCAAGAAGTATGTTTTTAGGATAAGAGAACCACTCTAATAAACAATTCCTCCATTGCCGTGCCTTAATGCAATGAACCTCATCTCTCTCCAGTCACATCTGATACTTGTTGGGGGACGTTCTAGTCAGGCTCCTCCCTTTGTTGGGCCCTGGGTGTCCAGCTGGGTCCTCTGCATCTAGCCTGCGAGCGAGGCTGTAGGAGCCAGGCCTGGGGATGGCACCGGACACTTGTGCCCCATCCTGTTGGTCAGCGTTCAGCAGACGTGCCTGCTTGCCCTTTCACGCGGGTGGATTCCAGTCCGTGTAAACGAAAGGAACGTGCTGCTTCAGAAAGCTGACACTTGCTGTGATGTCTGCTTTGTCCTAAGCAATTCAGGAAGAAAGGGTTCGCTCCTAACCCTGGCAGACGGTCTGGGTCCCTGGCCCAGGGCATGGACAAGCAGGCAGGGAGGGTGTGTGCCAGCGGACGGGCCACCAGGCAGGGGAGGACAGGCAGCTGGCCCCCGGCCCCCGCCCCTCTCTCCGTCCAGCAGCCCTGAGCTCAGGACGGAGAGGCCCTATTTTGAGATGTAGCCTCCAGCTGCATGGAGCTCGATATGTCTCTCTAGGACTGCCACCCAAGCGGTTCTCTCTGCCTGGGACATCTTTCTTTCCTCTTTCCTACCCCTGCTTTCACTCCAGGAAAGTGTGTCCCGGGAACCCCCGAGCTCCCTGAGCCTAGCCTCTCTGCCCCTTCCTCTCAGAGCAGAGTGTAGGGAGAAAATGAAGACAAAGGCGGCCACTCTGAGTCCTTGGCACTATGTTCTGTGGTCTGTGAGGCGGGACGGACAGGAGCAGATTTATATTATGTACTAGACACTCAGGGCTGGACATGGAGAATGGGCCAGGGGTGTGAGGGCAACAGGCCAGTGAGAAGGCTTTTCATTTATTCACCCACTCACTCATTGATTCCCTCACCCACTCATTCATTCACTCATTCAGTCACTCATTTATTTACCCATTCATTCATTCACTCATTCAATCACTCACCCACACATTCATTCACTCATTCATTCACCCAGTCATTCATTCACTAATGCATTCTTTCATTCACCCCTCATTCATTCATTCACTCACCCACTCATTCACCCATCCATTCTTTCATTCATTCATTCACTCATTCCTTCATTCCTTCCTTTAGTCAGATGCTGTCACTACACAGAGAGCTGTGAAGCGTTCAGTGTGTGTTAAGTGCCACACCAGGAGCCAGGTATAACTGTCCCTACCCTGTGCCATTCTGGGCGACTGAATAAAATACTAGCAAGTTATAAAAAGTAAAAAAAAGAAAGAAAAAACTGCTAAGACAGAGGTGACGATGGGTGGAGGGGAACCTACGTTCCATAAGGTGGTTG